TATATCATGATGAATTATAGTATCAAGATTTTTGTATTTTATTGTATCATCGTTCTTATAAATTGACAATTCTCTAGCGAAATCTTTATACAAATGTGTCTCCAAGGAAACGCCAACAATCTGAGAACAAAGATAAACAAGGAATGCCGACATTCAATGAAAGCGTAAGGCAAAAGCTACTTCGCAACCATGTGAAAAGATATGCAAGTTGTTTTATGTACTCGCGTGGCCACAATAAGTTGATGCAGTACACTTAAAAATCAAAAATAAGTTAATAAAAAAAACATTTAGAATGAGACTTCCTTAGTCCTGAGGCAAAAGCCCTTTATTTGGCTTTGTCTTTCTCACCATTTGTCATGTTTACATGTTAAATTCTATTCAATTTGTCGTTTTGGACGTTCCTTTAGGATTCTGTTTTCTCTATTTTTGTAATACATAACATAGTTTAACTGTTATTAATATGTGGATTTTTTCAAGATTCACTACTCATGATACTAAAATTAAGAAACACTCTTCGATTCTATGATGTTGAATAAAAATAAGTCATTTTAATATTTTGTTGGCACACAGGAATACGAAGAAAAGAAACAAGTAAATGCTTCGGCAAGGGAATCATGGAAACTTATTTTTTGTTTTATATGTTTTTACAACGATAAATTCTTTCAGTTTCATTTGATTTTGCAAAGCCCCATATTTCAGCTGTTTAATTTGATAAAGCTCTAAAAGAAAAGAGTATAAACGTTGACACAAGATATTAAAACCTTTCACAATTGATAAAAAGTACACTATGAGCTTTAATATTTTGGACCTATTAGGTGTACTTGTAACAAAACATAACCGTCAACCAAAATAACATATAACATCACAGGTATATCCCTGAAGAAATAATAATCATATTGATAAAAAATAAAGTGATTTCGGATCAACAATGGAGACAAAACGGATTCACTAAAGAACGCTTATGATTTAAAATAATGTAAGCTCGGTTTGAATGAGCTAGTATATTCCAATACCATAACAATTACCCAAATGTCATGAGGTCAAAATTTGCTAATGTAGCTAGATGATCGTTAGTAGAGGGTATTTTCACTGATATACATGTATATGTCATATATGAATTTGGTCATATTATGCATTATTAATGATAATTTGATTTAGATAGGAATGATTTATTGCCAAATTTTTATAATACAAATACTGAACCTACGTATTTTAGTATTTTTAAGCGGCTACGAGGGTTGTCATAAAAGTTCGTGCACTGCAGTTATTGTCGTGAGAGTAATTGATAGAAAAACATGAATTATACATCACTTGAAGGGGAGATCTGTCTCAAATAAGAAAACAAAAGAAAAAAATGTGTAACCGGCATGTCGTGAAAACAAATCGTAATACAGTAACCTTGGTAACGTAATACCGGCGCACGACAAAAACTTGGGTTAGTTCATTACTTTGACGCATCACGGTATTCTATAAACACTACATATAAACGTTAAAATTCAAGGAAAAGTGTGTGTGCGTATTCCTAACGTCACTAGAAAATATGAAGTCATCTGCCCTATAGTAACGGTCGTAAACGAACATTTGTGTGTGGTCTTCAATACTGTAATTACGTGAAAATGTCAGTCGCTAAATGTCTGGAAATACGGTCGATCATTTAATTTTGTGCAAATATTGGTAAAACACCGACAGATACCTAATAAGAACTTAAAAGGGCAAGCGGGACAAGTTCAGTGTCATGAAGGCTGTTTTTTTTAATGGTACACACGCTTTGTAGAAAGGCGAGAGTCAGTAGACGATGACAACCGGTCAGGCAGACGTCCGTCCGTAATGCCGGCGCATGTGACGAGGGTTGTCCAATATAGTTGTGCACTTGTGGAATATGTTACATGTACGTTGCATAAGAACAATAAAAACTACAAAATACTTTGCATCAATCATTCCTCTATTGACAGTAAAACAAATTATAACATTAAAAGCAAATGCTTCTTTGCAAACAACAAACAATAAATACAAGTACAGAAATGAACTAACCCAATGTTTTGTCTTGCGCCGGTATAACGTTACTTAGGTAACTTAATGACCATTCTTTTACACGGCACGCCGATTACTCGGCTTTTTCTTTTGTTTTCTTATTTGAGACAGATTGCCCCTTCATGTGATATATAATTCATTAGTTTATATTAATAGCTCTCACGACAATAACTGCAGTGCACGAATTTTTTGGACAACCCTCGTATTTTTAATTGGCCTTTTCGAAAGTCAAGATCAATCTTACTTTCTTTGCATCCACCCTCATCCTCTCCAGCATTCCCGTATTAGGTTAAACACTTAAGATACTACTTGTGCTATAAGATGCCCCTTGCATTCACAGTTTTCTTAGCAACAGTTCTGTCTTGTATAACCACTGTCACAATACTATTATGATTGTTCTAGTTTTATGCTATAATTTACACTACCTACATGCTCATTAATAGCTGTCATTGTGTTAACACAGGAGGAATCTTCTCATAATACAGGATGCCACATAATGATATTGTCCTACAAAGTAATGGTCTATATTTGTTATCACACTAGAGTAATTAACAACCCACGGACTGCTAGAGAGTTTCACTGAAAAAAAATCTCGTCAAGAGAAAATGTTGCTTTTACATGACTACATATCTCGCGGCGTCAATTGATATATAAGACAATGAGAAGCGCCGGTTTGATGTACATAAAGAAAACAAATCTCACTGGAGGACATATAAATGTATCTTTCCTTTCACAAACACGTCGTATAATGTCTGTAGGGAAATACATTTTAATGATGATGAGATACCAGTAATTAGAAACTTGTTATTCTTAATTATATCAACTTTATGGGTAAGTTTTATTGCATGGATTTTTGTGATCTTTACAATTTCTTTCGTTGGTATATAAATGTCTGTCATTTTCTTTCATCCAAATAAACTGCAAACCAGAATGTGCACATATTTTAATATACAAGGTTGCAACTGTCTAGACAAATGCCTGATTACAACGGAAAATAAACCCGGATCAATATGGTATTTCTATCAATATAGTTAGCTCACATAATCTGCATAAATGGGGTCATGGCCAAGTGGTTGATGTGCCGGGATTGCCATTGAAGGATTGCTGATCACGTTGGTTCATAAACCGTCAGGGTCAAGCCATTATTTCCGTGTTCAAACTTAACGATAACAAAATTTATCATTCATTGCAAGTAAAGTAAAATGGCATTCCGGCTTTCCTATTTATGTTTATTGTCATATTTTATGTTTATTTATATATCCATCCAAATACTAAATCAATTTCAAACTATCTACAACCTCTGTTCCTGAAAATGTTTATTAAAGTTTATAGCTAATGTCTTCAATATTGTTTTGATTTTCACATTTTCTGGACATTTAACATAATACTAGCGGAATAGAATGAATAATATTCAATATTTGTTACAAATTTGTGTGAATTTCACAGTACATCATGATGAATTATAGTATCAAGGTTTTTTGTATTTTATTGTATCATCATTCTTATACATGTATAACTCTCTAGAGAAATCTGTATACAAATGTGTCTCCAAGGAAACGTCAACAACCTGAGAACAAAGATAAACAAGGAATGCCGATATTCAATGAACGCGTAAGGCCAAAGCTACTTCGCAACCATACACAAAGATATGCAAGTTGTTTTGTGTGATAACGTTGCCACACAAAGTTGATGCAACAGAATCATATTAATACAAAATAAAGTGATTTCAGATTAACAATGGAGACAAAACGGAGAACGTCTGAGATTTAGAATAATGCAATCTCGGTTTGACTGAGCAAGTATATTCTAATACCATTATAATTACCCAAATGTCATAATGTCAAAATTTGCTGGTATAGATATAATTATATAATTTAGTAGCGGATCTTGTCACTTTTATACTAGTCATGAATTTGGTCAAATTATGCATTAAATATCAATATAAAAACTCGTACTTAGATGGCAAATATTCATTCTTCACTCTCAAGATAATCTTTGATACTAAGTTAAATTATTTCAACTGGTGTGAAACAGGCATTTATGCTGTAGCACAATTTGAACTTACTTTGTATTTGCTTCAAGATGATTACGTGTTGGTAAAATCTGACACGCTACAGATGTAAAAATTGAACTGATCATCTTTTAAAAAATGTTGGATATTCACGGGGTAAGTTACATATGGACTACATATGGTTATAAAACAGCGCATCTTTGATGAATATCTACCACAAATGGTTTGCCGATTTCAAAAAGTCCTCGCGTCGACAATCGTATGCTTTTTAAAACGTCATTTCAGAACTAAACCCTACCAGACGATAACTTTTCTACTGCTTTATCGATATTTAGAACATCTTCGCATAATTTTTTTTATAGAAACGGGTCGTAACGATAACAACGTATCTGTAGGTAATGAAATATGAATAAAATAGAAAGTAGATACCATTTTTGGGTCGCTGCGCTTGCGCAGAGCGACCCAAAGTTATAAGCTACATCTGAAGCTTACTGCAAACCGAATTTCGGCTGAAATATACATGCACGTAGTAAATAGTTCCGTATGGTCGGTAACAAGTTAGAAAATCCGTACCTTCATTCATTACAGGAGGGTTATCATACATTTTGAAATGTATCATGATGTCGAAAATTACAGTAAATTTGTGCTGTGTACAGAAAAAATATCAATGCGCGATTGAATCACGTGACAGGTCATTGAGGTCAGCCATGTTGATTCGACTTTCGTCAGTACGTTAATTCACAGATACTTGGGGTTTGGAGCTCAAAACGCCTTTAAAATCCAAATAAAATGCATATTTGTCAATCCCAGGACATGTACTGATCATATATATCAAAAAATCTTAATATATGCCGTTTTGAAAAAAAAACATATTTCAACAACTATAATTATTATAGTTGTTGAAATATGATTTTTTTTCAAAACGGCATATATTAAGATTTTTTGATATATATGATCAGTACATGTGCTGGGATTGACAAATATGCATTTTATTTGGATTTTAAAGGTGTTTTGAGCTCCAAACCCCAAGTGTCTGTGCGTTAATTGATACAGACATCCAGGATATTTTGAAGAAATTGTAAGTTCTTTAGTAATTTTTTTCAGTTTCCTCGATTAAAGAGGAAAGACTTTATGAAACTGAGCCACCCGTGTGATCAATTTTTGAAGATTTGTTTGTAACAGGGTAACGATTCGTCACCGTGACGATTCGTCTCAATTTTATAGTGACGATTCGCCCCACCTAAAATTAACATTTTTAAAATTCATTTGGACTGAAAAATATTTATGTTTTAGCTTTTTTGCATTTGTTTGGTATTCCTTTCTATTTAATAGATAACAGATAAAGGTTTAACAGAACTAACTGTATAGTAATAAATTTATAAATTAATCTGGATTCTTAATCTTATTTGTATATTATAATATTTAATAATTAATAATAAATAAACTAGATAATAGATTGATGTTATAGATAAGTATCATACAGTAATATTGTTTTTATTTACTCAATCATAGATATTCGTTTCTACAAGCAGATTGTCATACATTGTATTTTCTATTGTTCTATTAATCTGATAAAATAAAAGAAATTTAGACAATGCAAAGAGAAAAAGTGAAAGGTGTAATATAATCTGGATTTAAGGGTGCAGGGGAGTACTATGGAGTTGTAGGGGCAGGAAATCTGTGTTGAAGTGGTTATGGTTGTTGATTCTAAACCACTGGCCCCTGCTGTTGGTTAGAAAAATAAATTGAGTTCGAATGGTTTGACCTATTTTACAAACTTTTATTTTTCATACTGTCACCCATCCAATATTATCTCAGTGTCTCTCCGACAAATTAAATTAGTTACACTAATAATTCTATGAATACTATTGACCATGGTATTTGTAGCATGGCATTATATAATGGCAGATTGGTGTACCAAAAATTATTGTTTATGTTTACAATGCATATCAAAGAGGAAAAATAGAATCCCTTAAGAACACCCAAAATGACACAATTGAAAATGTTGCAGGCTCGGTTTGTTTGAGGATAAACAGTACTGGAAAATGCAAGTTACTGTCCTCGCCCCCTAGCACATACTGGCTTAAAGGCCAATATTGGCCATAATATGCCCCAGAAATGATTTTAATTTATTTTTCAAAAGCCTGTTATTTTTGGTGGCCAGTGGTATAACTTCTAAAATATACTAAATGGGCAATTATCTGAACCAACTTTTGACTCAGCTGTTGCTTTTTAGCAATCAGTATAGTTAAAGTGATTTAGTATTTTGTATGGAAGTCAAAAAACTACTTTGTTTACATGCAAACAGTAAGGCCTTACATGTTGTAAGTCTGTCCTAGAGGAGGTGTCTGATTATTCTTTAAGGCTTTGGTTCTCACACTGACACTGAGTTCAAATACTTTGCCAAATTCAGTTTTTATAGTCTAATTATTGAAACAATCTAAACCAAAGTTTTGAAAAACAAAGAAAAAAATTAATACACAGAATCTTGATGAACAGTATCCTGTTTGTTCAGTTCCCCCATTCTTTTTTTCATTAAGGGAATGCACATTGTATTCTTTGGGAATCATACGCCACTTTCATGGAATGGCACTAACATGTCACATTGGAGGTTCCATGATCACTGCCATAAAAATACACCTGCTAATGTTTCTAATTTCAAAATTTTACCATTACATGTTTAAATGTTGAATACTGCTTAACCTGGTGCTATTGGGTGTGAACAGCAGCATGCACTTTCCAGTTCTATCCATGAACTGGCTCAATCAAACTGAGTCTGCAGCATTTTCAATATTGCTATTTGGACTTTCCTTTTAGAATTACTGTTTCTCTTTATGTACATAATTACCTAGTATTATAGCTTTAAATGAAACAAAATAAAGAGACCACTAAGGACAAACACATATGCAACAGCTGGATTTTATTTATTTTGCTCAAGCATTGTCACTAAGTAATATTTGCCTGTATTTAAAGAAAGATTCTACAACTAGATTTTTTTAGAAGGTAATTCCTGATCCAGAAGTGTTCTCCCACAAACAAGTGCGTGGTTCCCCATTCTGCTCTATGCTAGTGCATACAAAAACGGACGATAGTACTTAGACTATGTATCATATAAAACTTTATTTACATGATGATTAGGGATTTTCTAATAATATGAAAAAAATGTTGATATAAGAAAAATATATAATTAAATTGATAACATGGGATTTGACTGATTAATTTCACAAATAATCATTGTATTTTATAAACATGAATGATATTATCTGAATGGTAAATATGGTCAACATTTTACTTGCTTTTGATTTGTTCCAATAGTTTGATGCATTGGCCTGTTTTGAGTTGGTATATATACATGTACATGATGTAGCTGATTTGACTATTAAGCCAAATGATTAATTTAGATAACTATAACTTGGGAATGCTTTATTGTTGATATGAAAATCATATAAATGTTAAATAAGAAATGCATTTATTTCAGGTGTGTGATATAACAAACTGTTGTGTGAGGTTTTTAATTTGACATGGTCAAGACATACTATGATAGTATTGTTCAGTGTAAGTTCTCTTTAAATGTTTGTTTATAATAAAAAACCCACATTTATTTTATTGAGCTCTGGAAAATTTTGAAAACACATATTTGATTTAGTAGTCAAAATTAAAAACAACATTACCCTCATGGAAGTATTTCCCGTACAAAAGCAGTATACCAGCTTTTTTTGCAATAAATGCTGTTGTTTTTCCTTGTGTCCAGAATGATATGCACTGCAGCACATACTGTTAAGTCAAATATATTTAGAAATACATTGAAAATTGTATATTTGTGCTATTCTTATTCTATTCTTCCCGGTACATGTATGAATCAAAAGCTTGGCAACACTGTTCATTTTATGGACATTTTACACTGTTCAAGTAATCATTCTGGGAAAACAGAGCGAGTGCATGATCTGAAATTTTTGCAAATAGGTTTTTTGCTGAGATCTACATCAAATAGAATATCATATAATTATTCTTGAAAATTATTTCCAATCCGGTCATGTCAAAAGCCTCAGTGGAGTCCCTTTAAGTAATTCATATAAGACATTGACCTTGAGATGACTGACCATCAAGGTCAAATACTGAATTTAACTTAATTATTGTCATATCATTAAATTTATTTGTTTTGTGTTCGCATATATATTTATAAGAAGAATTCCTTGAAAAATATTTACCTCATTTTGACTGTAAAAGTACATAAATTATAACAACCTTAGAATTCAGCCATCAGAGGCCATTAATGCTAAAGGTATAAGAGTATGAGTCTGAAGTTTACAATATTTATGATTTCTCTTTGGTTACAGAGAGAAACAGTTTTTTTTTTTATTATATTGAAAAATGTATATTTGCTGTCAAGTTGTGTGTAACTAAATATGTAACTAGTACATTTTACATTATTTTCTGTTCTTAGTAATTAATCTATAGAGTAAGAGTATAGGTAAAAGAATCTCTGGTAAACAATATTGAAAATCTTAAAAGCACATATAATGTGTCAGAGATTTTGTAATTTTGTAATTCTTTAGAAAGGTCAAACATGTGTTCAATAATGTTTTAATGATGTATTTACTATTTAGAGCATTGTAAATGTTTAACAACTGAAAAGAGTAACACTGAACAAACAGTAATTAATGTGTTGTAAAGGTAGCAAAATGTGAGCAGTATTATTTTGACTTCCATACAAAATACTAAATTAATGTAACTATACCAAGTGCCAGATAATTTCTCTACATGTACATGGTCAATGAGTACATGTAACTATTTGAGAAGTGCAACAAGATATGTAAATGGAAAGTTTCAAAAATAATTTTTTTATCTTTTCTAAGGCTTAATGTACCTTTAAAGTTATTATTTAATATATATTTAACACAGATATCATATGTGCAGAAAAATTGTGGTTAAATGATATAACTTGCTTGTTTAATACTGATTACTTGTGCATGATCTTTAATATAAGACATTAAATTTTGTTTTGCTTTTTTTTAGATTACTTCTGTCATGTTACTGTTTGATAACAGTTAAGGTACAGTAGGTTCAGACAAGTTATATACATGTATACAGGACAAGACAGCTCAAACTGGCAGTTTGTTATAGCAAAAAGTGATGAAGTTTCAGCCTAGAAGTCTTCATGATGATGATGGTGATCCTAGTTATAGATTCTTTGCAATTATCTGTAAGGAAGGGGTTTCTGCTGCAGAGAAGAAAAAAATTCATGCAGGTTAGTCATTTTTTCAATAATTAATTAAGGTCTGTTGTTGATTGCATTCAATAAAGGTCTTTCCTAATATCATAAGGTTCTAAGGTATGTCATCTTGTGGTAATAACTGATCCCTTAGTAATTAATTACAGTAATCAAACTTTTTAAACATGTTTACTGTAATCACTTGTTGCATGGTGCATATGCCTGAAGTCCAGGATTTTGTGACAAATATCATCATGTTTTACTATTAGATTATGTGGGAAAATGATAAATGAATGAATTACAGTTTTAGGGTTTTTCCAAATTTTCAACTTGCACCAATGTTGTTGTACATAGGGTTTTACTTTCTAATGTTTGACTGATATCATTGCAGACCTTTACTAATTCAAAATCATGACAAAGAATTTAAAATTAGAAGTCTCCTTTCCAGAATTACATTAATTCATTGTAGGACTAGTAATCATACAAAAAATATATATTATTGTAAACATGTTACACTAGAAAATTAAAAAATTGAAATGTATGCTCATAGTGAAATGATCCATTCTAAAGTTAAATTTTCAATTATTTTTCTGAAGAACAATAACAGATTATGCCCTGCTTCTAGTTTCTTGTATTTGAACAACTTATGCTGTTTAATTGTTTTACTAAACCTTGCTCCCACTTTGCAGTAAGAAGTTGCCCACTCTGTTCAAATGAAGCTGTCTGAAGTACCCAGTAGAACAATGTATTATTTCTGGAACAACTTAATTGAAGTGAAGCTTACTATGTGAAGGAGTTATTTCTGTATTCAAAAGGAAACTTCAGCATACAGAATACCAATTGAGGTATAGTAGTCCACTTTAAATTTTTACTTCTATCCATCTAAAGAAAGCATGAGATACAAAAATAGGCGATAATAATTATTTTCCTGACATCAGAATACACTATGGTTCTGCTTGCAGTTAGAAGTGATGTTCTATTCTTGTAAAGCAGCATTAATTGAAACCAATATTTGTCCTGTCATTTAATTGAAACTAATTGACAATATTCTTGTTTGTTTTTCAGCAGCATTTGTAAAGTTAATTTCGTTTGAATATCACACCATCCATTGCTTTTGATTTTCTTGTGACCAGAAACTAGCATTTTACATAGTGGTGTAAGCTAACTATGATAATTCATGCAAAGATATGATAAAAAAAATTTATAGAAGAAATATGTCTTCGATTTACTGGTAAATTGTTAAGTATGGAGCACATTGTCTTTATGATGTGGAATATATTCAATGCCAGATAAACAATTACTTGCAACGTGACAAATATATTTTATTTTCAGATATTTGTAGCTTCAGTTATGGGAGAACATAAGATTAATTGAACTGGAATCCCTTCAGACGTTGACATAGCTAAATTCCACAGTTTCAACTATAAATGGACATTGAAATAATTATACATTGGTTTTATTTTATACATGTATCTGTTAATATTTTTGTTTTCAAATATTTCCCAATATTGTTAATTTTGGATAATATAATGCCACAGAAAACTTGTCGGTCTTGGAGTATGGCTGTTTAACAAAAAACACTGCAGATTGTTCATCAGAACAATGAAATTACAGTTTTTGCTCATTAATGAACTAATTTACATAAATATATAATTTTTGTAAGCATGAAGAATTTTGGAACATATCATATAATGGATATTTGTTTCTTTTGCATGCAAGATCCAAATATATTTCATAGAGTGAACAGCAGATTAAATATTTTCATGAATGGCATTGAAAAAAATATATTATGTATTAGTATAACTTTGCCACAATGTTGGTAAATGGAGGCTGCTATTTTACTGTGACTGAAAGTAGTTCAGATATGACGCCTTATGATGTCCGAGGTTTATAGCCCATCATACAAGCCAAAGAGAGCAGATTTTTTTCTGTGTAGATTCATTAATTTTCAATGTTCATAATTGAAAGTGATTCTGTCATATTTCCTGAATTTGTTTAATTTCCTTCCTGATTTGCAAATATTAATTATCTACTCTTTATTTATCACATTTTTCTGAGAAATAAATGTATTTCCCACAAAATTTCTGTTTGTTTATAGGCTTTTCATCCTCATTCAAGTAAAGTCTGGCTACTTTTGAAATTATACTTTATTGTGAAATAATCTAAAAGTAATGTCATTTTTTTTTCTGAAAAACATGTTATAAGTTATGGTGTTCAATTGATTTCTGAAGGACAACTTATGAAGGAAATGAAGTGTGTTGATACTTGCCATGTTAGTATCAAAAGACATATTTAGTTCAATTTTGGTCACAATAAATTATTTTTGATGCAGTTATGCCCCTTTTTAGCTCGACTTTTTCTTTTTAAAAAATAGAGGTATCGAAACAGTCATGTTGGCATTGCCGAGGTTATCCACAAACTTGTATTTTGATCATTACTTTTTAGCTCACCTGAGCACAATGCTCATGGTGAACTATTGTGATCCTCAACCATCAGTTGTCGTGGGTCGTCAAAAATTTCTTTAAACAAATCTCCTCAGAAACCAAAGACTGCACAGTAACCAAACTTTGCAGGAATGACCCTACAGTAAGTGCCGTTTGGTACTTTTGTCCAGTGCATCACTTGAAAACTAGTAGTTGGAATTGTGGGGGTATTAATCACATTTAGTGTAGTTCTAGTTTTAACTGACCATATTTGACTTATTGTTTGTGAGAATTTCATGAATCTCTCTGGATGAAATTGTGACATTGATAAGTCATGTGTTCACAATCACTGAAAGTTTATCCCTGATGGAACACTTATTACTAGTATACATATAAACAGAAAGATTTTTCAACCATTTTCTTTTCGAGTTGTTTGAACTTGATAACTTGAATATCAGATTGATAATAACTATAATCCTCAAGAATGAGCATGTTTTTCATATGCCTTATAAGTAGATGAAAATTATCAATGCTTAGTCATTGTTAATAGAGGACTTGGTTATCTACTACCAGCTTCTGCTTCTGTCAGTAGTGTTCTCTTAAAATTTATTCAACTTTCAAATTATTATTTTAGGATATGAAGCAGTTTGGTTTTTCGATCTCAACTGAACCACTTGAGAAAAAATACTGGTTTTTAGTACTTTTGATAAACCGTGTTGTAATTGTTCGATATCAATGATAAATCATCCTGAATTAAATCAAATGGCAAATATTGCTCTTTCCTTTGTACTCAATCATTTCCACTTGAATATGACATGAACATTTTCAAAAAATTTGCAAAAGGACATGATTTGGCCTTTCAAGTGATCACCAGCAATATAATGTCATATAAATTTGTCAGCGCAAGCGACCCTCCAGTGCTTTCAGTGCTTTGATTAACTTATGTATCCCAACTATCCTAAGATTAGAAAAAGGTACTTTACTCAATAGTATGGCCATTGGCCAACACTGAATAAATTCAAAGGCGAAATGACAAATAAAAAAACACTTACAAATATAATTCAAAATGTCGCAACACTGCATAATGTATACATTATCATTCCAATAACATTTATTTTGCCGGAAATGTCAGAATTTCACACACAAAATAGGTTATGATTAAAGTATTGTAGTAACAAATTTATTTCGTTCATTTTTGGATAAACAAACATGATTTTCTTCTTTTGTATTTTTTATGCTAAAACAATGAAAATGTTAAATACAATAAAGACTTGAATTGAATTTAATTATATACCATGTCCTCGTATGTATACGTTATTCATTTAATAACGTCTTTGTTGTTGTTGTTGTTTTGCATGATAAAAACAATTGCACTTGAAATAAATGTTATTTGAGTTCTTGCGTGATTGCACGTGTTTGCGCACCCGCTTGATAAAACATAGTATTCTTTAAAAATTGCCATTGCCTTGTAAATAATGTAGTTATAATAAATATATATTTGACATTTTGTTGATGAATGTTATTAAGGTTCCAAATAAAGTATCATTTAAATTATTTTACGAATGCTAAATTATAATGCATATATATGCTGTTTTAATTTGCTTTTTAATGCTTTTTAATTTAATTTTGATTTTAAATTTTATATATGTTATACAATTATACTATTTGCATAATGACGTACTAGAATTCAATTGAGTCTACACAAGAGAACATTTAATTGTTTAGTAAAGTATATATAATTAAAACAGACGTATTGTAATTATTCCTATTTTGCAATTTGTTTTCAAATTAACTTACATGCATTTATTTATATTCCAATTTTTAGAATTACACCTTATTACTTGATTTGATAATTTGAAAATGAAAATAGAAAAGAAAATGATTAATGTTAGAATAAAGGAATTATAAGTCATTTTCAATAAATCTGACTAAAGTTCAGATCCACTTATTTCTTTTATGTAGATCTGATGACGACAGTATATGTTTCGCCTTCTTTGTAATTCGGATGTCCCGAGAAAGCTATTTTAGCCATGCAATCAAACCGGTTTTTACATAGGCATTAGAAGAAGTATCAAAAACCGTTAACCATGGAAGTTAAACAAATTGTTGTTCTTGTTGAAAAAAAATGTTTGAAGTAATTTTTAACAAATTAACTTGAAATAATAGAGTCAATCTTTAATAGGCAAGCTTGTTTTGTTTTACCAGTTTACCTGTCGGTTATAGGACAAATGTGGATTGTATTTTATGATACGTGTAACATGTTTGTAACAACATACATATAGTCTCTTATAATTCTTTATAAGAATGACCATTTACATGTATTTTAAGTTATATTGAATGTATATTTGTATTATATGTACATGTAATGGATGAGACTTAAATAAACTAATAAACAATATAGGACAACGGTTTACAACAGTTCTCGAAATCGTGAAAATTACCTACTCAGTATTGGTTTTCCCAGGGCCAAAATAAGAAACCACATCGCTTTCAAAACAATGAATGCTCGACGTTGATTGGCCATGTGAAGGGTCACCAGAAATGATTTCGTATTTGGTCACGGTCTGATCTAAAAGCTTAGCGTTATTTAGAGCTAATTTTAAATAAGATTGTTTTTCAATACATAAACTGCAGACATTGTTAATATAACTATTTGTATAAGTTAATAAAGTATCCATCCATGCAATCCATACACGTATCTATCATCCATCCATCTATGCAACTAACTAAACTTCACTATGCTTTCTCCCTAATCTTTATTGATTCCTTCCTTATTTGCGTCGTTTACTTAAAATTCTAACCTTGGAAGAACTAAAGCAAAGATAATGATTATGAAATAAATTAACACCTAACTAATCACCACAGTCAATAAAGGACGAAGACAGAACCTACCAGCTTTTTTGAAAGCTAAACTTGTATAAATAGTATACAATAAACTTCTCTTAGACTTTGCAAATAAGGAACCCTTAGATAATTTTGATAAATCGTAAATTCAAAATATATGTGTTTTATAACATCAACTTGTATTGTTTCATATTTCCTAGTAAGAAAATGCAATTACTGTTATAAAACGTTTTGAAAGCGATTAAAAAAAACAAATCATCAATACAATTTCCCCCGACAAAAGTTTAATTTGCACGAAACTTACATCATTAAAATATGATATTAAAACTTGAAAATTAAACCAATAAGTAAAAGTATTAATAATTTAACATTTCACAAAGCTCAATTTTACTATTTGTTTTGATAATACTTAATACATAATACATGTATATACTTTCTGGATAAAAAACGGTGTCTTTGCCCTTCATGGATTTATGTTTCATATGTTTTAACAACTACTTACATATACAAAAGTATTATTTGCCTAAACCAAACAGAACAAATTATTTTTATCTGTTTAAAGCAAGACACTCCTGTAGTTTTTACAGAAACTCCACTGAGGTCTTAAAACATAAAATTTGAATTTCCTGCATAGATCAGCTTGGGCTATGCAGATCAGCTGGGCACTTAAAACAGACAAGAGATGCAAATGTAATTAAAAATGTAATCAGATTTAATTTAAAATCGTATTTCATTGCTATTCTTAGCCCGATTTGAGTGAAAAGCATTACAACGCTTTTTCAATTTTTGAACATTTTTCATAATAGGAATAATTATTCTGGAAAACGGATTGAGCGTATGATCTGAATTTTTGCACACAAGTTATTGGTCTAGACCTGTTTAAAAATGGACCATTTATCTCGAAAAACTATTCCCTGTCCCCTTATGTCAAAAACCCTCAATGGAGCCCCTTCAATGCCGAGTGTTTTGTTTCCTGTTGTATTTTTTTGTAATAAAGCTTTCAGATGTAGAGGGATGTAGAGGGTTAGAATATTTTTCAGTGTGTGTATTAATAGCTGTCACTAGTGGTGTTTCGCTTTATTTTGAGGTATATCATGATTTTGACCAGTCATTTTCTGTTATATGAGTGGGTCTTACCAAGACCACTTTATCTTGAAATACAAGAAAGAAAAAA